CCCCCTCTCTTTCATGTATGTATACATATGAGTGTGCATCCATGAACATGCATGTATAAGTCAGAGCAGGATGTGAGTGTTGTCCTCTGTTACTCTCTGCTTACTGTAGTCTTCAGACAGGGGCTCTCACTGAATCAGAAGCTCATTGTTTGGCTGGTCTTGCTGGCTAGCACTTTCAAGAGCTGTCTGTCTTTGACCATCAGTGCTGGGTCTACAGGCATGTGGAGCTATGCCTGGCTTTGCAGAAGGAATCTTACAGAATATGGGTTGGACATGTATATCAACCTGATGTAGGGCAAATGAATGCACATGAGCTTAACAGAGAAGGAGTCTTCCACTGTGGTCCTCACCTGGTTGAGGAGACGGTCTGGATGCTTGGTTCAAACCTCAGTTTCCTCTTGTTTGAAGGTCGGCTTGAAGCCTCTGCCCCAGTTCTGTTGCTTGAAAGGACACAGTGATGCTGACCTCACAAAATTACTGCAAAGGGCTGAACATTGAGTAAATATATGATAATGTAATGTCAAGCACATGCTTTTAAGATCAAGTTCCTATCAGTTCCTACACAGCTTCTCCCCACCCAATGATTGTTTGATGATCTGGTGAATGCACAAGAGGAAATCACATGTAGCTGTCACCAAGAGATACTCTGAAATTCAGAAATTCATCCTTCAGGAAGAAGAACATTTTCAAGAAAAAGCTGACTCAAGGAGAGAAAGGGGAAGGGTAGGGGCAGGTGGTCTAGGCAATAACATATGTGATCACACCTGGTAAGAATTATAACTTATTAAACTTTAGTTTTCTAATATGAATAATAATACTAATATACTCTTAAATCTTTTTTGTTAACTATTAAAATGCTGTATAAATACTTGAGTAGTTACATAAGTTTATACTCTAATAATAATTATTCTAATAAAAATGCTGATGTGAAGGATAGAAAAGTCATGCTTGATTTTTGCTGGTTTTTTTTTTTGAGCACTTTAATTAGGTTTTTAAAAAGACATGACCCATCCATTGGAGAAAAGGGACACTGGAAGCCACCTAATATAATCTGCATTCCATATGTTAAGATTATATTGTGAGGCTGGAGAGATGGCTCAGTGGTTAAGAGCACTGACTGCTCTTCCATAGGTCCTGAGTTCAATTCCCAGCAACCACACGGTGGCTAACAACCATCTGTAATGGGATCTGATGCCCTCTTCTGGTCTAGCTACAGTATACTCTTAAAATATATTTGAAAAGAAACGGTTTTTTTTGTTGTTGTTTTGTTTTGTTTTGTTTTTTTTTAAAGAAAAGATTATATTGTGTCAGTGACAAGTTCTTGTTGGTTAATTGTTGCAGTGCTAATGTCCTTTTCACTTTGGGGTGAACCAGATAGGCACATTGGGTACTGAGGTCTCAGACTTCTGTATCTGCTGTTCCTACTGTGATCTGCTTCAGGGCCTATGGTGTCCAGGCAGCTGGTGACTGTGGAGGGAGTTGAGGTACATTTAGTGCTCATGCAACAGTGTCCTCTGATGGTGTTCTGTCATAAACCAGAATGTTTTATGGCACACACCTGTGCAGGCTGGAATCTTAAAATGTGCAGAAATGGCCCAAGGCTGTAATTCTGATCAACATCAGGGTTAGCTTATAAGTGTAGGTTCATAGAACCATGTGTCCAGGAGGAACCTGGCTGTGTTCTGATATGGCCTTGCTGAGTTTCTTTCTTTCCCCCAACCCCTGTCTTTTTCATCTGCCTTTCTTCTCTCTTACTCCTTTCTCTGGTTTTCATTTTCTGTTTGTTCTGTTCTCTTTGACTGTTTTCCTTCCTCCCTGCCCCATCCTCATTCTCTTCTACTTTCACTTGGGGCCTCTTCCTCATACTGTTTGCAGTTACTTCTCCTGCTTGTCTCCACTGGTTCCCTTAAGGTGAGTGTGGAGGGGAGGAGGAGTGTGGATTTTAATGACTGTTCTTTATGGACTAATTTACTGGACAGTGGAGATGGCACTCTCTGGGCATCTGAAGATTTTTTAAATGCTCTTCCACAAACACAGAAGGTAGACAGCTTGCAGCAGGAAGCTCTGCTAGGCATTCCTTTCAGGAGTGGGCATATTTTCCCTCTTTGATGGTGAAGGCTGTTGTCTTTCTCATTATAGATTGAGGAAACACGGCTCAACATTGACAAGATTTCAGAGCATGTGGAGGAAGCTAAGAAACTCTACAGTATCATTCTCTCTGCACCGATCCCAGAGCCAAGTGAGTGTTGACTGAGTTGAGTTACTATATTGACGCTTGGCATTGGGGCTGAGAGAGGCTTGTTTTCCTCTGCTCTGGGAACAGCACATTCCCTTGTGCTAATGTACAAGTCACTTTCTCTCTCTGTCTCTCTGTATCTGTCTCTGTCACACACGCACACACACACACACACACACACAGCTCTTACTCCCAGCTTCTACCAGCTCTTCTCTTCATAGTCCCACTGGAACCGTTGGCCAAGCTCTACTTCACAGCTTGTACCTCTCCTGACTAGCAGTCCTCTTACTGCTCCTCACACACCCCAAGCTCCATCCCAGCTTTGTGCCTTGGTTTGTGTTCTTCTGACTCGAGTGCATTTTGAGGCCCCCTTCCAGAATCCTACCAGATCAAGTACATTTTTATTCATTCTTTTCCTTATGAGGTATTCTGGAATGGTTAGAGTAAGTCCCTTCTGTCTCCTATCTTGCATGTGTTACTGCTGCCTAGGGAAACTTTTGTTCTATATTTGGTGAGTACAGTTTAGCACTGTATTTATGTTCCTAAGAAAAGCGACTATTTAGTTGCTCTAAAGTTCCTGAGGGTTAAAATCAGAACACTTCAGCAGAGCATATGGGAATCGTCCCCTCATGTTCCCACCTTCCTCTCCACCTTTCCCCTGCCCATTCTGCTGACTTCACTTACATTAACCTCTGGCTATTCCTTAAACATTCATTGTTCCTCATGCTCTTTATATATCATATCTTCTTGGGATTCCTGCTTAGTCTCCTTGGCTACCTAGCTAAGCTATAGTCTTTCTTTTGACTAGCTATCTAGCTAACTAACCCACTGTTTTGTTTTGTTTTAAACCATTTACTAACTACAGTTTTTGTTGAGACTCAGTTCTACTATCTCTGCCCTTTGGGGCACTTCCAAGTTCCTTGAGGCTATGCTAGGATTTCTTCATAACCATCCCATGCACACCTTCACCTTATGCCACATATCAAGACTTCTGATGACCTCCCTCCTCATCCCCTGCCAGGCTCAGCCCCTTGATGGCTGAATCTATATCTTCTCTCTGGTCCCTTAATTTCTCACTTAGTTATAAGAGTGGAGGTACCAAAGGATGGTTCTGGAATGAATGGTTTTAGATATTGTTAATTTTGTTCCATATTCCCACCATGAGTACAGTGCTCCATGCATTCATCAGCTGGGACAGCTCTGGGCATGTAGTTGGTACATCATAAATACTTGCCTTACTTAAATTAATGGGCTTTGGTTGAAATTTCTTTTCCCCAGAACTTCCATGGAATCCTCTCCTATCTCCTGAGATTGAGCTCACATGGTAAACAAGTTAATTCCTCTAAAAGCATGCCTTGGATTGAGGAGGCTTGTTTTAAAATCCTATGCTCTAGCCCTGTATTTGGTTCTTAGGTCTGGAATAGGGTACCAAAGTATGTCTTTTAATTTAATTAATTAATAACTTTATTCTGAATATGAGGGATTGTATATAGGGCTTGGTGCATGCTAAGCATGTGATCTACCACTGTGCTATTTCCTTAGGCTGAAAATGCTTTAAAAAGAAAAAAAAATTCTTTGTGACTGTAGTGGTAGATTCTAAAAAGCACATTGAGATGAACACTGATGGCAGCTGGCATCTGAGAGTTTCTGCTCCATCTGCTGACTGATGTAGCTTGCAGAGAAGTTTGCCCTCTTTTCTAACTGAGCCTGCCTCTTATGTTTACCCAGAAACCAAAGATGACCTTGAACAGCTCACAACGGAGATCAAGAAAAGGGCCAACAACGTCCGGAACAAGCTGAAGAGTAAGTCTCCACCATAGCCAGATACAGCCTCTCAGGGTTCACCTCTCACCTGCCAGTCATCCCAACGGAAGTGACATCACTTGTCCTATTTTTACTGGCGGCTTGGGCACTGTCTCTGGACTGACCTTCTGTATCCTTAGACATTTATCCCCTCTTAAGTTCTCACTGTAGTTGAGAACCCTGGTACTGCAGTTAGGAAGTGGGAGTAATTGTATGCTTTCCATCACTGCATGGTTATTTCAGCTTAGTCCTTCAGTTCTCTCTGCTGATCCATAGCACCCATGTACATCTGAGAGGTAACTACAGAGACATAGGTGCAGGGTCTGTTATTCAGTCAGCAGACATTTCTTTGTGTATACCTTCTCATTCCTGCTTCCCTTCCTGGTTTTGGAGCACAGATCAGTAAAGTCACTGTCATAGATTTAATCCTGCTGGGGAATCTCAAACTCTTGCTTAGCTGCAGTCCATACTCCTGTCAAAGTACTTGCTGAACATTAACTATTGGTAAGAGAGGAAATCAGTATTATTTCTTCCTTCCCCAATAAATTACAACAGTTACTTTAATGGCTAGCTAGGGGAAGGCAGCTTCCAAAAACAGTTAATGTGACTGCCTCCTTGTTAAGCAGTTTGTTCAGTTTTTGCATTGGTATTTTAAGGAGGTTCAGGCTGAGCATACTTAATCCAAAATTTCCAAATTCAAAATATTCTAAAATCTGAAACTTTGTGAGCATTCACATTACACTGTAAGTAGAAAATTACATAATAAGCCTCACAAGTACACTAAAAATGTAGTTCTAAATTATCTCTAAGCTCCAAGGTATATATGAAGCATAAATGAGTCCTGTGTGCCTTCACTAACATTATGTATTTGTAAATAGTCCAATTTTGACAATCTGAAACACTCCTGGTTCTAAGCATTTCACACAAAGGGTACCCAGCCTCTGTTGCTACTTTTTCCATTATATAAACAAGAGGACAGATAGTTGAGTTTCATGGTTTTCCCCTTGTCACACAGCTAGACCATGGCAGGGTAGGGATTTAAGTCTCAGTCCCTTGATGGCCTGAACTGAACTATTAGTTGTGTTGCTGAGACCTGGCAACAGCGAAGGCCAGATGAAGTCAAGTGTGTAGCTTGTGGGGGTGGACACTGATCTTTTGTGATTGGATCTCCCTGTTGTTGGTCTTCATAGCCTCTGTGTATGAGGATGGGTAAGTAGGTCTGTGTAAAATAGGGTCTCTTGTAGAAGGAAGGACAGATGTGTTGCTATAATAACTCTCTCACTGCAGGCATGGAGAAGCATATTGAGGAAGATGAGGTCCGGTCATCAGCAGACCTTCGGATACGAAAGTCCCAGGTAACTTTGTTTCTAGTTTAACAATCATTTTCACTACTTTTTAAAAATTATTAGTTTTTACCATGTACATTTGGAAAAAAAAAAAGATTCTATTGTATTGGAACTCAGTTTGAAGAACTGGGAAAGGGGAACCATCTAGGCTGAAGCAGTGGCGAGGGCCCATTGTTCCCCTTTGGGCTTCTCTCACATTCTAAAGGAGGCCCCTAAAGTACTCTCCTTGACTCTTCAGAGCACGCCTTCAGCACTGCCTTGTTTTATAGGCAAAGAAACTGATTGATGTCTTTCTTCTAATGACTGTTAGTTAGAGTTGCTGGGTGTGGAGTCAGGCACTTTGGAGACATCAAAAACATGATCCTTTAAGTATGAGAACCTGGGCATGGTGGGTGGCTGCCTCACATAATCCCAACACTTTTGAGGCCAAGGCAAGAAGACTGCCTAGACTTCAAGGATACCCTGCCTGAGCTATAGTGTGAAAACATTAAAAAACAAAAATGGAACAGGAAAAAAAGGAGAGTCTGACATGATGTTTAAGTGGTGCAGTAAATATTGTATAGCAGGAAAGCAATGTAAGAAGGCATAATCGAATCCATGGTCATTGCACCATTGAAAGATCTCATGGGGCATTGGTGGTGGCCTTGGGTAAGCAGGAGTGCCAGTGTAGACAGGCTGAGGAGGCAGAGCCTCCTTTTATTGAGAAAATTAAAAATGGGATTAGGAGTGTGTGTGTGTGTGTGTGTGTTTGTGGTGGCAGCAGCACAGAGTGGTCTTGGTGGCAGTGGTATGAAGGTGGCAGCAGCAGTATTGGGATGAATTCAGGACAGAAGTAATGGGAATAACCTACTTGGAGAAAAGAGTGTGTTGTTGGGTAGCAGATGCTAAATTTCCGGCAGATTACGTAGTGTCACACTCCAAAGGTCTTTAAATACTAGTTGAGGGAGTTTGGAGCTGACTCAGTACCTGCGAGTCATTTGTTTCAGTCTACAGTGTGCTAGGGGGATATGATAGTCCTTTGGATATGAATGGGAAAGAGGAAAGAGGCTAGGAGGTCCCCAGTTAGACTTTTGCAATGATTTAGTCTGAATTTCATGGCAGTAGTGTGTTTGGTAAAAAGAGGAATAAGTAATATGCTTGATGCTGTGATGTGGGAAAGGAATAAAAGTTATTATTAAGGTCTGTTGAGAGAAAATGTTTATTTGTAAGCAAGAAACCTTGAGGTTGTTATTTGGCATATAAACTGAAGGGTCTTTGGCAGGCACTGCTTGTTGGAAGTGTAGTTGACGACTTTAGCCAAGGTTGTGGTAGAAAATGCTACTGGGCCTCAGGTTCTCAGTAATTCTTTTTAATGAAATATTATCATGTGAATTCAGTAAAGAAGGAAATGAGTAATGGAGATTGCACGTTGAAAGTGGCAGTGGATGCTTCCCACAAACTAGGAAAACAAAACTGGGTTTTGCATTTTGGTCTTTTGTTTCTAAGCCCAGGACTGCTGAAGACTAGGCTGTGTCAAGGTGGGATAGAGTTTTACACAATCTCCTGGGGGTCTACTCACTTAACATTGTTCCCACAGCACTCTGTCCTCTCCCGGAAGTTTGTGGAGGTGATGACAAAGTACAATGAGGCTCAGGTGGACTTCCGTGAACGCAGCAAAGGGCGCATCCAACGGCAGCTTGAAATTAGTATGTGTTTGAAGTCGGGCCATGTCTGTCCCCACCTTTTCCTGCTGTGTGGTTGTCCATCCTGAGTCCTGGGAGAAGCAACAGTGACCCTGCTGCTTGTGTCTTCTTTATTCTCTTCAGCACTCAAACACAGAACAGATGTTATGGATTGATAGATCTGTAATATGGTATCCTAGGTTGAAAAGTAGCACATTTATTGAGCTAAGGAATTTTATTGTTTATGGGATCCAGCACTTACCTTCAGGGGAACCCACTAAATAGTTGGTCTCCTGAGAACTCATTACATCATTTTGCTGTTTAAATGAAAAAGTACATTTATGAAAAACAGTGTAGTGCTAGTTGCTGTGAGGAATTAAAAAATTAATAAAGCTATATTGTTCAGGAATTTAGTGATATTGGAAGAGTAGACCCTATAAGGCAATTGGCTTCAAGTTCGAGAAGCTGTGTGAACAAAGATTCTATCAAGAGAACGCAGCTGTGTAGAAGTGGCAAGTTGTCCAGAGTCGGAAGGAGGGTGTGTTTGAAGCTGCAGTGTAAGATTGAAGGAGGGCTGCCCACAAATTGTGGACTGTCATGAGGCCCTTGGGCTCTGTGGTATGGTGGTTGGGCTAATAAGCAGTCTGAGCTGGAGTATGTGCTTAGGGTGGAGATTATTGCTGATAATGTTAAAGATGGATTGAATTGGGTGAGAAGTCAGAAGAGTTTGGAGGTTGTTGGGGGCAATGTTTACGAGGAAATTGTAAGTGGAGGTGTACTTTGAGCTTATATTTCATGTATTTCTTTTGTTATATAGCGGGCAAGAAGACAACAGATGAGGAGCTGGAAGAGATGTTAGAGAGTGGCAACCCAGCCATCTTCACTTCCGGGGTGAGTGACCAAAGTACTCACTTCAGTGGACAGGGATGAGCCCATGTAGGCTGTACTTGCAGCTCTGCAGGGGAGGAAATGTATGTGGACTCTGAGGGCTGTGCAGGGGCCAGTCTGTTACTAGAGTGGTTGACAGCCTGTCTGTATGGGACCTGTTGTAGATCATTGACTCCCAGATTTCCAAGCAAGCCCTCAGCGAGATTGAGGGTCGGCACAAGGACATCGTGAGGCTGGAGAGCAGCATCAAGGAGCTCCATGACATGTTTATGGACATCGCCATGCTGGTGGAGAATCAGGTAGTTGGCACGTAGAAAAGCAGACATTTCCTTGCGAACCACAAATGGCATTTTGGAGGTCAGGTGGGGCAGGGGATAGAGAATTTTCCTCATGGGGCAACAGAATTCTAGTGTCTGAGGCAGAGATGTGTAATCTTACTTAGCAAGTGCTGGCACCTTGATCCACCTCAGTCTTGTTGTTCTTCCTGTACATTTACAGTGATTCTAGTTAGCAGTGAAGTTTCATATGTCGTGACAGAACCTAGTTTGATCAGACATATCACTGTTTCCCTTTTTAAAATTAAAGACATGGGCTCTTTGGCTGGGGAATGTGTAGTTGAGTATAGGATGCCTGCCTAGCATTCATAAGGCCTTGGATCCAAGCTATTTTGTGGCCTAGGTCTGCATAAACCAAGCAGAGTGGCATATACCTATAATCCCAGCACTTAGGAGCTGGAGGCAGGAGGATCAGGAGCTCAAGGTTATCTTGTAATACAGAACAAGTTTGAGAGGCAGCCTGGGCTTCATTAGACCCACCCTTCCTAAAAAAATAAAAAGCAGGTCTTATTGGCAATGCCTTGACAGTTAGTCTACTGATAAAAACTATTTTACTGAAAGCTTTTTCTTTCCCTCCAATTCACCATAGAAGTTAAAAGCAAGTTAATGAACTTTTCCAGTTTTTCTTTTACACTTCTCTTTTCCTGAGCATTTTGGCACTTTTTGCTAAGAAATAACAATAGATATGATTATAGAATTTCTTATTAAAAGGATATTTTAGTGAAAGAATATAGAAACAATTGAAACACTTATGGTACTTGACAATTCATCCCCAGGCATGCCTGCTTAGGAGTGGAATTCAATATTGCTTGCATATGGCATTCATTTCTGTCAGATTGTTGGTCCCCGGTTCTTGGGATAGAGTTAGGTGTCATGCAGGGTCACGGTGCTAAGCAGCTTTCACCAGGAACTCCCAGCTGTTCAGCCACTGGGACAGAATTGGAAAGTCTTGCTGGGTAGGTAGACCACAGAATGTAGTTAAGTCTGAGCACTGGCTAACCAGTTTTTCATGAGTTCTCTGCCCTTTGGTGCATTCTTTCTATTCCCCTTTCTGGCCTTTGAGACCCCTTTCTCAATCCCTCCATTCCCACTTTTCTTTTTTCCCACCACACTGCCTTGCTGAGGATCTGGTTTGAGTTTCAAGCGATGGTAAGTGCATTGCTGTGTTTATTGAGAGTCCTATGGTGATGGGATGGGGATGAGAAAGGCATAGATGGGTAAGGGGAATTCTCAACTTTAGATTCCCAGGAAGTAACTGGAGTGACCAAACTTGACAAGAAGTAAATGCTGGGAAATGATCAGGAATCTTATTAGAAGATGAGTGTCTAGAGGAAGATACAACCAATAGCATGGGTAGATCCAACATCTACTTAAGGGGCTTGGTAATTTCTCTTGAAGGACTTAAGTACTTTCTACTATTGCCAACCTGATAATTACTGAATACCTTTTATGTACCAAACACTATTTCACAGTAGTGAGTAAACTCAGCTTAGGTTGAATGAACTTGGTTTGGGTTTGAATGGCCAAGAATGGGCCAGCATCCTGGTGATATTTTAAAAATATGAGATTTTCTTATTTTGGTTCATCCCTGTATGCTTAAAAAAAGTAAGAAAATTAAAGAAAAATGTGGGAGAGGTCTCTTTGTGTATAATTTACACATAGTTACTGAGCATCTAGAAAAACTGCTTCAGATGTCTGGTATAATTTCAAGAAGTAATCCAGTAGTTATTGAATGAGTGACCATTGTAATTATAGGTCATCACATGGGAAATGGAACGTTTGCTGTACAGAAGGCTGTGCTCTAAGGTCTCTGTATGTGCCTTGGCACTGAAGTCCTTTCCACATTAGCTGGGCTATTGTGGGGGGTCTAACAGGTGTGACTTGTCTCTTCTTTTCAGGGTGAGATGTTAGATAACATAGAGTTGAATGTCATGCACACAGTGGACCATGTGGAGAAGGCACGGGATGAAACTAAAAGAGCCGTGAAGTATCAGGGTCAGGCTCGGAAGGTGAGGTTTTCCTTCTGTCTTCAGACAAGAGAGTCCATTTTGTTTGCTACTGTGCTTTCTCGCTGCTCTCTTCCTGTCTTTTTCTGTTGCCGCCACATCTTGCACCTGGGGAAAGGGAGCCATGATTGACCGTATTGAGAACAACATGGACCAGTCAGTGGGCTTTGTGGAACGGGCTGTGGCAGATACCAAAAAGGCAGTCAAGTATCAGAGTGAAGCCCGGAGGGTGAGCGCCTCAGTTTCTGCTTGTTGTACCTTCTCTTCCTGTCTTTTGTCACCTCTATACTCTGTTATTGAGCCCATGTCTTTTGTCTCTTTCCTAGCCTTAGCCTCTTCTAAACCCCTGCCTTAGCCTTTCCTAGACTTCCTTCCTTCCCAGGGTTCTGTGGATGGATCTGGCTCTCACATGCTTTTGGCCCAAGAACCCACACTTGAGCAGCCTGGTAGGCTGGCCACATGGCCTAGATCTTGTCACTAATCTCCTGAATGTAGCTTGTGAACGCTTAAAACATTACATAGTTCCTTGGAACTCTGAAGAACAGTCTTCCACTTTGCTCACCATTCTTTTTCTCTAACTTGAACTTAACACAGTTGCTAATTGTTATGTAAAAGTTATCACGTTCATGGAAGCACTTTCTTTCTCTACTTCTAGATAAAGTAATTTGAGGGTCAGAGGATAGGCTGGCTTCAGGCTACTCACTAGTACAGGAGGTGGACCTGGCATTCACATCCCACTAGTATATTCTATCTTTGTGTCTGCCTTCCCTCCTGGCCTAGGCTCAAGAACTTTGATGCTTCTGTCTTTATTGACTGTGGATGCCCAGTTATGGGAACCTCTGCCTTTTTTTGTTGTTTCTCTTGAACTCTGAGATTTTCATTCTTTAGTTTGTTCTCTTCCAACTGCACCTATTGCTTGTGCAATTATTGAGGGAGTTGGCAAATTGTTTTTCATCCGAATCTATGCTTAATTGTACTTTGGACCTATTCAGTATATGTAGTCTGTGGTAAATAACTGGGCTTTTAAGAGGACAGATGAATACAAGTTGGTAATCAGAACTGTGTTACAAACATTTTATGGGTTGGTGAGGTGGTGCTTGGAGACCTCATGATACCAATTGCCATGAGTTTACATATGCAAGCATGTGAACTAAGAGCTGTAAGGGCTCCATATTATCATTTGCTGGCAGTGCTAGGCAAGAAGAAATGTAAGAAATGTAAAATATCCATGAGAACATTTTTATAGAGAGATGTATACTTATGTGGGTTGAGATTACTTTTTCATTTCAAAAGAAATGAAAAACGCTAAATTTTAGATGAGTTGCTATTGCTTTTTTTTTGTAATAATGATTTTATTTTTATTTCTTATTCCTTTCTCCAGAAATTGATAATTATCATTGTGGTAGTAGTTGTGTTGCTGGGCATTTTAGCATTGATTATTGGACTGTCCGTTGGGCTGAAATAAGAGTGGCCTAAGGGGCTGCTGCACTGAAATGTAAGTAGATGAATGGTTCTGGATTGGCTTCTCCTGAGGAATTACTCTGGGATTTCATGATTCTACTCTTTTCTAATGACTCCCACAATGGGCTTTAAAACTGTTAGTTGCTGTAATTCTTTAATTTCTTTAAAATCCCATTCTTGGGTTCTGGCTGCTGGATATGGGTCAGGTCTTCTTCTTCTCCTCCTCCTCCTCCTCCTCCTCCTCCTCCTCCTCCTCCTCCTCCTCCTCCTCCTCTTCCTCCTCCTCCTCCTCCTTCTTCTCCTTCTTCTTCTTCTTTTTTTTGAGTCTGATTGCTTGTTTCTACTCTGTCTTGTCACTTAGAACATTTAACATCTCATTCTGACTGACTGTACCCAGGAGGCATGAGTAGATGTTGGATGTAATCTGGGAGCCATCTTCTAAATTCTTAGTGGCTTTCATGGATGCTGGGTTTAGCTTAGCGTTCCTTGTCCTTTTTCAATATAACTAAAGCTTTATGCTCCAGCCTCAGACTTTAAGAGTTATGTTTGTGGCTGAATGTTAGCTCTTGAATGAGGTACTTGATAACATTGTAAAGTGTTGAGTCATGACAGAGAGACTGATAAACACCTTATATATAGATAGCAGAATCCTCACAACAGTCTTATGGGACAGGGAATATTATTTTAGAAGTAGAAAAACTTAAATCTTAGAGAAGGATCAAATTCACACAGCTAATAGTGGACCTAGGAGAGTGCTTTACTGCATCTTAATTTCTTTTTGTAAAGTAAGTAGTGTTTATTATTGTCTACAAAGTTCAGTGAACTTTAGGCTATCAACCAAAATTTATTAAGTAAGATACAGCTGGCCAGTAAGTTAGGCTTAATAACGGTGACCATGATAAAGCTGATCTAGTAGTCCTTTGGACTTAAGAACCTTTGTGTTTTTTTTTTTCTGGATAAAATAATGTTATTTTAAAAAGTGTTTAAGATACAGACAAGTGAAAGTTACCTTGTAATATTATTTTTCTAAATATGTGGCAGGCTCACACACTTAGTTTTGCATAGCTCAGACTATATTAATTATATAGTGCTTTTATCTAGTTAGAAAATCCTAAGGATCATTCTTTATCACTAAAATCTTGTTGAAAGCTAATTCTCAACATGAGGATATTAGCATTTCCCCAGTGTTGGAGTTTATATTATTTTGCCATCATTGAGTGTGGTGAAATTTTTATTTTTCTTTTCTCGTATTATAAATTTAGAAACTAGATTATTAAAGTAACAGGCATGAACCTTTTTGAGAGTTCATGCAGACTTACATGCTGACACTGGAGCTGATCCTTCATTTTACTTCAGCCGTGCCCCAGAGGATCTGGAACTGAGATTATTAAATCTTAAGTGTTCAACTTGAGAGATAACAGTCATGAGGCAATCATGCTCTCAGGTTCTTTTGATCCCCCTCTTTCTCCTGCCGTCATTCTAGTCCTTGATGAATTGTTTATAAAATTTCAGTTTTGTGCTCAGTCTTGACTATCTCAATGAAAAGCATGGTAAAATAATAATAATAATAATAATAATAATAATAAAAGATGTATTAGTTGTTATCTTTCTATATCCTCAGATGAAAGATGCCTTGCAAATTCATGGTGCTTTTCAACACTTATTTCTAATGCCAAGAATTCAGAATGTAGAAGACTCATTTTTTAAGAGGCTAACAATATTATTTTTAGCTGATTAACCAGATCATGTAACATTGTGACTTATTGCACATTGTTCAACATTCCCCAGTAAAAGCAAGGTTCATTGGCACCTAGGTCTATATTCTCCAGTAAAAGCAAGGTTGATTGGCACCTAGGTCTAGGCTTACCTGTCTTCCATGCCAACCTATGACTGAGGATAATCTGTGTTTGCAGTTTCCTGTTAGCTACGACACTGAGATGCCATTAGTCCCCTAACTTACAGATGTAGGAGCTCTTTGAAAGCCACTGAAGAAAGCACTGAATAAGTGCTTGCCCACACAGCACTTCTAAGATGAAACAGCCAGAGTAGAACACCTGAGATTTCCTGTAGTCTTTTAATTTTGCCTGTCTGCTTCCTAAGTGAAGGGAAGGCTCCTGGAGAAGATTTGGGCATAGGATGCTTCTGAAGCCTGAATTCAAGGAGAGCTACCACATGCGAGGCAGAGAACAGGTGTTTTCAATTAGTGATTGTGCCTCCCCATGGCCTTCCACAGGTGACAAGTTTCTGGCACAAAGGCTTATAAAGGGGCTAGATTTTTTTTTTTTATTTTTGGTCCTACTTTAAATAACTGAAAGATTTTTAAAATTAGCATACAAAGTAATGGGGTTCATTATGTCATGTCTGTGGTTTTGGTTGTTCCTCTGACCCACCTCCTGCTGGATCCTCAATCCCTGTAGCTCTTTGTTCAACTTTCATGTCACATGTATTCTATTGTCAGTGTCCCAGCTCCATTACCACCATCATGGTACCCTTTACATAGCCTAACAGTTTTCAGTTTGTGGTTCATGACCCCAAAGATCTATATTGGAAAATATAGATATTTATATCACGATTCATAACAGGAGCAAAATTAGTTATGAAGTAGCAGTGAAAATAATTTTGTGGTCGTGGGTCACCATAACATGAGGAACTGTATTGAAGCATTAGGAAGGCTGAGAATCACTGACCTAGAGGTTTTCTTAGTTCTTTCACAATAGCCTTCTTGTATTTCACATGTCCAGCCTTGGGTTTTGACTCTGGGCTATTTCAATTTAGTGTTGACTACTGCATGCTCTTTTTTGTAGGCATTTCTGATCTTTGATCTCCACATCTGGGGTTTGTGGCTAATTCCCCTTGTTCCTTAACATTGTTTTATATACTGATCAGCCTCCCTTCTCCCCACCTTTCTTACAACCAGATTTCACTCCAGCGTGGCCTGACCACTCTTGTCTCCAGATGGGAACAGAGTTTGAATGGCCTTCCTGAGAATGAGGGGTGCCTGTTCCTTTATTTCTTTGTAACGACCATCCCTGGACCTGGCTCAGCAAACCATCTACCCCCAGAGGAATCTAACCTACCTAATGCAGCCCCGAGTTCTCCTCAAAACCACCTCCCATCCTAGCAGCTGAAGTACCCTCTTCTGGACTGTGTGAAGCAACCCGGAGTGTTGGTGTGTCAGTTATGCCTTGTGCCTTGGAAAATCCCCGTGAGACCAGCCAAGGCGCTGTATTTCTACCTCATGGAGTATTCTCCTGGAATATACTTTGTAGTGGAGTGCTAACAAAGTAGAGGGGTTCTTCTCAGTTTAGCAGTAGTGTGGCTTTGATCAGAGGCCCTAGCTGGCAAGATGCCAAGCCTTAGTTTGTTGTCTCATGTCCTGAAAACACAAAGACTAATAGATGCCATTTTGGTCTTACAAGTTGGCTTATTTGAAATTTACCTTTTAATTAAGCTCTAACTTCAATGTGGGCCACATTGATTTTTCTCTATATTCACTCGTTTACTCAGAGAGACCAGTGTGATAAGTCCTCTGAAGCTCCCCATTGGGAAAGACTGAGGTTATAGAATAAGCTTCCATGTCTGAGTTTTGGAATCTGGCTAGTCACTGTTAGAGAATTGCTCTTTGTGAAGACATTACTTTGAGGCCAAACAGAATCAGGGATTTAAAACTGGTCCAGGGACAAGGTGCTACTGTCTCAGGCTCTGGAAATGTCAGTCATTTATGTGTTCCAGGTGTACTTTTGTAACTATGTATGTGAGAGATATTACATAACTGTCTGCCTCTCAGGAAGTAGGAAAACTAGAAGATACTATGACCTCAAAAAAAAAAAAGAGAGAGAGAGAGAGAAACACATGAGAGAGAGAGAGAGAGAGTGAGAGAGTGAGAGAGTGAGAGAGAGAGAGAGAGAGAGAGCGAGAGCGAGAGCGAGAGCGAGAGCGAGAGCGAGAGCGAGAG